AAAAAAAATTGCACTTAAATAATTATAATTATAATTATCAACTCAAAAGAAATACATGCATACATTATGAAATGCCAAGCAACAAATGATCAAGATACGTATTCTGGAAATAGTGGTAAGCATGTGTACACATACAACCTTTTATTGCACACTTAACAATTATTTTTAAAACCAAATAAATCAAAATCAGATCTTAGTGACACTAACTGTGAGACCATGTTGCATGCGAAGAAGAACAGAAGGAACTGGTTCGGTTTTGTGCCCTTCAACAACCTTGATGTCATAGTTTCGTATGATTTTCACGGCCACTGTCTTCATCTGCAAGAAAGTTAACTTTTTTCCCAAGCAAGTTCTTGGACCAGCGTTAAAAGCCAAGAACTTATACGAAGGCTCATGTCTCAACTTTCCACTATCTGAAATCCATCTTTCTGGTCTGAAATCTTCACCGTCATCTCCCCAAATAGATCTCATCCTCCCTGCTGCATAAATAGAGATTACTATCTTCCAATTCTCATCGACTCTATGCCCACTTGGAAGCACGTCTGGTTTTACCGGTGACTTGTGGTTAAATGGAACTGGTGGGTATAGCCTTAGCGTCTCACACACGGCACCGTGTAGATACACAAGCTTGTCTAAATCCGCTGGATCAAAGTTTGGCATCTTCTTGTTAATCTCTTGTCGGATCTTTGTCACTGCTTCAGGATTTTTTGAGAGAAGCCAGAAGAACCAAGTGAGAGCTGAGCTTGTTGTGTCTCTTCCTGCGATCAAGAAACCCAAAATAGCGTCTCTGATAAATTTGTCGTTACTCGGTTTCAAGTGCTTATATTTGACCGTGTCCACAGTCATGTAATATGTTAAAACGTCCATGGCCACCTCTCCTTTTGAGTCTTGATCATGAGTACCATGACTTTTTATCTCCTCTCTTTTAGCCGATATGATCTTCTCGAGCAATTGGTCGAAAATCGCGAAACCGCTTCTCATCTTCTTCTCAACTCCTACACCAAGCCAATATTGGAGCTTCCACAAGAAAGCCGGCTTGACATGCCTATAAAAAATCCCGTCTGCAACACCATCAACCGCGTCACCGAACTCAACCTTAGGCATTTCGATGGAGAGACATTTTGGATCATACCCGGTCATCAAAATAGAAGATGTATCGAACAAGAATCTTTGGAACAAATCTTGCAAGTCGACTAGGATGTTTTCCTTGGCAGCGTTCTCAAGAATAGGAACAAGCCCTTGCTTTAACTTGCTTATGCTTGTATTCACCGAAAACTTTTGGAACTCTTGATGGCTAAAGATGGCATGAGACGAGTTCCTCATATCCTCCCACAACTCCGAGTCAACGTTGAAAATCGCATCTCCCAAGACTTCAAAGATCTTCTTAAACTCCATCCCTTTGGGATAATTAACGAAATTTGAACATAGAATGTAGTGGATATTCGTCGGATCAGCGGTGAGCAATATGTCCGTTCCACTAAGCCACGGCCCTTTGAAACAAAATGTCATATCGCTCGCCTCAAGTACCTCGGCGATAACGTCGTAGATACGATGGACTTGGAGGAGTAGACCCGGAAGCATCCCAAGGACCGGCCAGTTAGTAAGCAAAGGCTTGTGAGTTTTCTTGTGGAGCAAAAAACATTGTAAGACGAGGAAGAAAACGAATGTTATGAAGATTTCAAGAAAACCTATGAGCATCGCCATTATAGT